GCAGAGAGAGAGAGAGAGAGAGAGAGAATACCCCAAGCAGGCTCTGTACTGTCAGTGCAGAGCCTGATGAAGGGCTCGAACTCACGAACCTTGAGATCATGACCTGAGTCGAAATCCAGAGTCACTTAAATGACTGAGCCACCCAGGCACCCCCAGGAAGAACGTTCTTAACCAGCACGAGGCACAGTCATGCCCAACACAGGGCAGCAGCTAAGAGCGTGGACTCTCAAGCCAGAGCTTTCAACCTCCCATCTGTAAAGTGAGGCAGTTACAGAAGCCACAGAACAGGGCTGTTCTGGGGGTAAGAGGCCAGAAGAACACCCAGCTCACAGGAAGCCATACAAGTGTTGGCGAAGTAAACAAAGACAATTCCTCGTACAAGTTCAGGTTACCTGATAGGGTGTCAGACCATGTAAAGGACAAAGTGGTTTTGGCACCGGGGGCTGCAGCTGGCCGAGGTAACCCAGTACCGCCAGATCACGAAGAACTTTGTTATGCGACTCTCTGAAAAGCAAATCAGAACGAAGTAGAGATTTAACCTTACACATCCACCTCGCGCTCAGCGACACAGTACGTTGGTCATTACACAGATTATACATACATGAGCGCACACTCCCACCTTGACATTGGCACACCCTGCCTTTCTGTAAACCCACTGGAAAAACATGACGCCTAAAGACTCGCCTTTAAATAAAGGCTCTTGGCAACCAGAGCTGGAGGCCGCTTCTGGCTATGGGTCTTCCTCAACCTATGATGTGGTTTCATCCTCATACACCCACCGGAAGCTGAAAATATGGAAGGATGAAAACGCCTTTAAGACACCTCGCACACTGGGGCGACTGAGGGGCTCAGTCAGTTGAGCATCTGACTTGGCTCAGGTCATGATCTCAGGATTCATGGGTCCAAGCTCCGCATCGGGCTCTGTACTGACAGGTCAGACCCCAGAGCCTGCTTCGGATTCTGTGTCTCCCTACCTTTCTGCCCCTCCCCTGCTTGTACTCTGTCTCTCTCAAAAATAAATAAACTTTAAAAAAAAAAAAAATTTAAAAAAGTTTTTTAAAATTTTTAAATGTTTATTTTTGAGAGAAGGAGAAACAGAGCACGAGTAGGGGAGGGGCAGAGAGAGAGGGAGACACAGAATCTGAAGCATGTTCCAGGCTCCGAGCTGTCAGCACAGAGCCCGACGCGGGGCTTGAACCCACGAACTGCGAGATCGTGACCTGAGCCGAAGTTGGACACTTAACCGACTGAGCCGCCCAGGCACCCCTAAAAATTTTTTTTGGAAATCAAACCATCTTAAATCAGGGACTGTCTGTCTTTCCATTGGGAAAATAATGGCTCAGAAAATAGCCGATTCTCCTTCATAAACATGTAGCTGTGGCAGAGATTTGAACATTTGTAGAGAAATTCTTCCCTTTAAGGAAATGAGAGCAGAGAGGCTTATTACACTGAACAGAACTCCGGCCTCCGTTCGCAGTGGCTGACTCACCTGTTTCTTGGCGTTTTTCTAAATGCAAAGTCTGACTGGACGCAAATCAGCTTATGTCCAGTGAACACAACGGGACTCTCCTTTTCTTCATCGGCAAATTCCAAACACTCTGTAAACTCCGCCAGCTGGAAACCTCTGTTCCGGATTCTGGACTTGCTCTTTGTGTACAGGCCGTCCATGTCGTCTACATAGTCAGGAGTGAGGTTCGGCATGTACTTACTCCGCCCGGAACTGAACTGGACCACGTGGCTGGGAGACAGCAGCCGGATGAGATCGATGAGAAGCAGAAGCCCCTTGTCTGTGAGGAAGGCGACACGAGCAGTTGGCACACTAAAATGCAAGCACACGTTTCTACGAGAAAACGGTACATCTGTCTGCGACACAGAAAGATCAGTAAGAACGATTTCCTAAGAACGGGGCTTCAGCGTTACTGCCTGAAGCCAAAAGCTTACTCGTACCGCCCACCCTTTGCTGCGAGATGCGCCTCCGCAGGCTTACCTGACACCCAGCCCATCGTGTTGACGATGAGAGGGGCCTCTCTCTTGTAGGAGCTGAACACGTACTGTATTATCTCAATATAATTCTCATAGTTGTTTTTACAAGAAGGTTTCCCATAATATACCATTTTCTGCGGTGTCCTCTGGTGAGTAAAAGGTGGTCCTAGGAAGATAAAGGTGAGGGTTTGCAGGACTATTTAAAAAGAGGCGAGGGCTCCGTGTCGGCCATAGCCAGTGACAAAGACTCGCAAGAAGTTCAAGATTATCTATCCTACCACTGGGAATAGCTGTATCTCGTTTTCAGAATTCTAAGCTTTCAGGGCGTCTGGGGGGCTCAGTCATTAAGGTCATGATCTCAGGGTTAGTGAGTTCAAGTCCCACATCAGGTGAACGCGAGCCCCACTTCTCTTTCTCTCCCTCTCTGCCCCTCGCTCACTTGTGCCTTCTTTCTCTCTCAAAAAAAAAAAAAAAATCTTAGCTTTAAATTTAATACAAAGACATCTTCATGTTCTTTTAATGTTTATTTTTGAGAGAGACAGAGACAGAGTGGAAGTGGGGGAGGGGAAGAGCGAGAGGGAGACACAGAATCCGAAGCAGGCTCCAGGCTCCCAGCTGTCAGCACAGAGCCCGATGCGAGGCTTGAACCCACAAACTGTGAGATCATGACCTGAGCTGAAGTTGGATACTTACCCAAAGGAGCCACCCAGGCACGCCCCCTCATTGTCACATATAATTAATCCCAATTCTTATTATGTCCTAATATGGCCATTCATTTATTGAGCACCGACAAGACACTGATGCTCAGTGAGCCGAGTCAGTATCTTTCTAGATACTCAGGATACACGTTTGAACAAAACCATGTCCCCATCCTCGGACAAGTAAGCAGCAATCACTCACTAGCATGTAGCACTTCCTATGCCCCATGTACTTCACAAGTAGTCTCTAATTTTCATAAAAATCCTATGAGGTAGGTAGTATTACTACACCCATTTTTATAGAGGACACAGATTAACTGACCAAGGTCATACAGCTAGTAGATACCAACTGCACTTGAACTCAGATGATTCAGCTCCAGAGAAAACGTTCCTTTTTTCTTTTTTTTTTAATGTTTATTTATTTATTTTTTGAGAAAGAGGGGGAGGGAGAGGGAGAGGGAGAGGGAGAGGGAGAGGGAGAGGGAGAACGTGAATGGGGGACGGGCAGAGATAGAGAGAAGACAGAGAAACCCAACAAGTCTCCGTACTGTCAACACAGCCCCACACAGGGCTCGAACCTATGAACTGCGAGATCATGACCTGAGCTGAAATCAAGAGTTGGATGCTTGCTTAACCAACTGAGCCACCCAGGTGCCCCCAGAGCAAACATTCCTAACTGTAGCACCAGTCCGTCAAAACTGACCTACTTCCCTTATCTGGCTGGTGACCAGGACCACACGGCACCACGGTCAGCAGGGTGAGGGCCTTGGTTAATGTGGTTGGTGCCAGGCCACCTGGGACAGGGCTGGCAAGGCTCCCCTCAAAGGTGGAGTAAGGGGACTTGGGGCAGCCCACAGCTGAGGAAGTGGCCTGCATAGCAGAGGGATTGAACAAATACAAAGAGACTGAGTAAATATGTAAATACACTGACAACAATCACAGCCAGAGTTCTTATCATCAGATATGGAACTTATAAATACGGGAGGAGGAAGGCTAACTAGAATAAACCCAGGGTGTCAGACCAGAATCAGAATGACTGCAGTAAACTTGTGGCTCTTAATAAATAGAAAATATGTACACAGAAGTGTAAACGTAGTGTAAATGTATGTACGAATACGTACGCACGTAATATACACGTATGGGCTTAAACGTGCATGTATTTCCTAGCTCTGTCCACAGAGGGGATCTGCAAGCAGTGACACCCCAGAAGAAGTAACAAATAATACACCTAGTTACAGACAGAGTGGAAAACCCTGGCAAACACTTATCTTAACCAAATGATCAGAGGCAACCTCTCTGGTGACAGGGCCAACTGACAGCTTGCTGACATGATGCACTGAGAACACAGCACCACACCTCAATCAAGCCATGAGGGGCACTCGACAGGTACTCTTCCAAACTGCCAAGGTCATGAACGATAAGGAAAGCTGGAGGACCTGCTCCAGACCGAGGACTAAAGATTTGCAAATATACGCTGGGCCGGGGCAGGCAGCTGGATGATGGACGAGGGACAGTACTCCAGCAGTTCAGCTGCTCTGATTTGGTGGCTGCATTAGGATTATACAGTGGAGTGTCCTTGTTTGGGGAAACACCTACTGAAATATTAAGGGGTAAAAAAGAAAAGTAAAGGCACTGGGGAAAACATAAAAGAAACAAAGGAACAATGAAACCAGCTAAAGAGCAAAGTCCAAACAATTAGTTTTGATAAAACTGTAAAAGCAACGTGAATGCTCTACTTATTCTCATTGTCAAAAAGTCTGTTAAATCTAGAACATATCCAGCAACCTGATATATCATCTGCTTCTCTTAAAAGTCAACTGAACAGGGGCGCCTGGGTGGCGCAGTCGGTTGAGCGTCCGACTTCAGCCAGGTCACGATCTTGCGGTCCGTGAGTTCGAGCCCCGCGTCAGGCTCTGGGCTGATGGCTCAGAGCCTGGAGCCTGTTTCTGATTCTGTGTCTCCCTCTCTCTCTGCCCTTCCCCCGTTCATGCTCTGTCTCTCTCTGTCCCAAAAATAAATAAATGTTGAAAAAAAAAATTAAAAAAAAAAAAAAAAAGTCAACTGAACAGGGATGCCTGGCTGGCTCAGTCAATAGAGCGTGAAACTCTTGATCTCATGGTTACCAGTTCAAACCCCACACGGGGTACAGAGATTACTTTAAAACTCAAATCTTAAACCTGTTAAAAGTCAACTAAACAGGGGTGCCTGGGTGTCTCAGACAGTTAAGCGTCTGACTTTTGATTTCAGCTCAGGTCATGATGTCCAAGTTCATGGGATCAAGCTCCATGTCGGGCTCCATGCTTGGAGACTGCTTGGGATTCTCTCTCTCTCTGCCTCCTCCCCTGCTCATGTGCATGCTCACTCTCTCTCTCTCTCTCTCTCAAAATAAATAAACTTAAAAAAACATTTTTTAAATAAATAAATAAAATTTAAAAGTCAACCAAACAAAAATCACACAACTATCTTGACAGACACAGAAAAAGCGCTTGATGAAAACCTAACGCCCTTTCACGACAACAAACATTCCACACACTAGGAAAAGAAGGCAGCTTCTTCACCCTGAAGAAGGAACGCAACTGACAATGAAAACCCACAGCTGACAGCATGGACAGCATGGTGAAGCACATTCCCTCTAAGATGAGGAATAAGAAATGTTTCCTCCTATTCAACACTGTACTGGAGGTCCTAGCCTTTTCTTAGACAGGAAAAAGGAATTGAAGGCATCCAAACTGGAAGGAAGACGTAAAACTATTTCTATCTGCAGATGACGATCTTCTATCTAGAAAATCCAAAGAAATCCGTAGGAAACCTACTGGAGGTAATATGGGAATTCAGCAAAGTTGCAGGGTATGTGGTCAACACACAAAAATCACGTGTGTTTCAATATACCAGTAGTGAAGAATCTGGAAAGGAAGTTAGGAAAGCAATTCCACTTACAGTATTAGCTAGAAGAATCGAATCCTTAGGAACAAATCTAACCAAGGAAGTGAAAGACTTCCACACTGAAAATCACAAAATTTTGCTGAAAGAAATTAAAGAGCTAAAAAACTGGAAAGGCACCCTGTGTTCGTAAGAAGACTGATCACTGGGGCCTCTGGGTGGCTCAGTCAGTTAAGCGTCCGACTTCGGCTCAGGTCATAATCTCACAGTTTGTAGTTCTGAGCCCCGTGTTGGGCTTTGCACCAACAGCTCAGAGCCTGGAGCCTGCTTCAGATTCTGTGTCTCCCTTTCTCTCTGCCCCTTCCCCACTTATATTCTCTCCACCCCCTCCCCCCCAAATAAATGAATAAATCTTTTAAAATCAGCAAAAAGAAAAAAAAATTATGCTTAGTGAAAAAAACAGTCACCCAAGGACAGATATTGTTAAGGTCTCGCCTACAGGAGGGGCTTGGAGTAGGTGAACTCACGGGGACAGAAAGCAAAATAGAGGTCACCAGGAGCAGGAAGGAGGTGCTATTTAACAGAGACAGCATTTCAGTTTGGGATGACGAAAAAATTCTGGATGTAGGTGGTGATGGCTACAGAACACTGTGAATGTACTGAATGTCACTGAACTGTACGCTTATCAGTGGTTAAAACAGTAAATAGTATCACATTTTGTATATTTTACCATTAAAAAAAAGCAACATGGGATTCTGGGTTGGATTCTGAACCATAAAAAGGATGTTAGTAGGATAACTGATGGATTTTGATTAAAATCTGTAGTTAACAGTACTGTGTCAATGTAATTTCTAGGTTTAAATCATTATATATGGTTACATAAAATGTAAATACTATAGGAAGGTATGTTTCTGATTTACACACAACAAAGTGGGTATTAGTTCCATTTACCAAAATGGAACCCTAGAAAATTACCATAGTTTTGTTTTTTGGAAGCTAGGAGAACCGTTCTAAGAAGACCGGGAGTTTGGGCAGAAGGGGGAATATTCACTTTTACACTTTCTTTTTTTCATATTTATACTTTTTATTTTTTTAGTTTTTTCTATCATTATGTTTGAGTTTTATAAAACCAAGACACTTAAGAAATATACAACACACTTTCTCGCTAATATAAACAAAGATTAAAAAGGGTGGGGGGGAGGCTGGGTGGCTCAGTTGGTGAAGCATCCTACGTTAGCTTCAGGTCATTATCTCACAGCTCGTGAGTTCAAGCCCTTTGTTGGGTTCGTGCCGACAGCTCAAAGCCTGGAGCCTGCTTCAGATTCTGTGTCTCCCTCTCTCTCTGCCCCTCCCCTGTTTGTGTTCAGTCTCTCTCTCAAATATAAATAAACATTAAAAAAAAAAAAAAAGAAAGAAACGTGTAATACATACCTAGAATTGGTTCTGTAATATTAAGTAAGGAAATGCAACCTGGAGGCGTAAATTCTGTCTGTCCCAGATCACATTCCAAATAGTCAACACAGGAAATACTGAAAATTTGAAAGGAATAAAGAAAACCTTAGCTAGCTTTACTATGTCAAATGAATACATAAGATCTCATAGATTTTATGCAACACACAGGCATAATCCACCGTTTTAGAGTCTTTTAGGTTGGATGCTCCAAACATGACAATCAACGAAAAGAAAATGTGCAGGTACGGTCACAGTGTCCACTCACAATATGGATACAACTTGGTACTACCTAAAATTTTACTTTCGAAATACAACGGAATTTCCCCTACTCTGAGCCTCTGGGTATGGTCAAATACAGAATCTAAGACAGGCAGCCCCTCTTGCCCCCTCACTGATAAGCGAGGTCAGTCATTGTCTCACTCCCAAACACAGCAGAACAGAGACGGTCATCGCTCAGCTGAACGGCTTTGCACAGACTTGTAGACAATCTCTACTTAGACGTCAAGATGCGTTCCTGTCTAGTTTCTTAAGTCAAAAATCCTATTTCATGCCCCAAATCTAATAACATGTCTAAACAAAAAAAATTAAGAAACAAACAAAAAATAAAAACAAAAAAACCCCCCCACTCTTACCTATTTAGCAACTGGTTAATCAGGTATCTATTAAATGTTGACTTTCCAACGTCCTGAGAGCCACAAACCAGAATGACAGGGCAGCCGTCTACTTCTTCTGGAGGCAAAAGAAACATTGACGCCTAGGATTAGCCACCTTCTTTAGGGCTCTAATCGCAAATCATAACCCTCTGAGGCTCTGGTGGACGAACACTCCGTTTATCACTACGCGCCACTCACCACAGGACACAGTGACTAGCTCTTCCATGGCAGACAGGGCACTCTCAGTTAAACGAAGGCCATTCTTCTTCTTCTCTCTTTTGATGCCAACAGACCTCAGGGCTAAATGTTCAGAGTTAATCTGGAAGGTTGGGCTCTGAAATTAACAATGCAAGCTTTAAGAAAAGATGAACACAGTGCACATTTCTTCATCTAGTTCTAGGCTAGTAAACCTCAAACAGTTGTGAGCTACAAAAGATAAACCTGGCCCCTCCTTTCTCTCACGCCCAAAGCCAACTCTTCCGTAATGCTCGTCAGCTGTCCCTGCAGTCATCCCTACCTGTCCTCCTAGCTCACACATACTTCCAGGCTGCCGTCACCTCTGCAGGAGGCCCCCCCAGGAAAGGAAAACCTGTGCAAATATAAAAGTGATTGCCCCAAGAACAATTCAACAGAAGACCACAGCTGTCCAACAGGTTGGTTATTTAGAGTAACATCAAGGCAGTCTCCAAAAACATAAAGTAAAAAGACAAAGAACATGCACAGAACTGAGAGCACGCGGAAGACAGGCCCGCTAACCCACTGGCGCTCCAGCGGAAGCAACAGGAAACCACGGAAGCAACCCACAGCATCAAGAGCAGACCCTCGCTGACGCAGGTGGGGTTCGGAGGGAATAAGGCCTCTGGGGTGAAGGTGAAGAAGATCCAGGAAGAGCCCCCCATGCATGATCATATCCTCGTGCAATTCATCACCCCCAAGATAAAGACATCGTAGAAGGCACGAGAATCAGTCTGGTGTGTGACTTCCTATCAGCAACTCTGAATTCTAGAGAACAATGGAGCAAGGCCCTCAAGGTTTTGAGGAAAAGAGTCTATACTCTGCTCAACTATCAGTCACGGAGAGCAAAATAAGAGTAACTCCTGGGGAGAAAAAAAAAAGAACATCTTATGAGATCATATAAAGTTCACCATCTGCCGGATATGAAGAAATAAGGCTAGAATGTAGTTAACACACATTGGGGGAGGAAAGTTACCCAAGAAAGAGCATGAGGAATATAAACGGTGGTGGTGGTGAAGTCCCAGAAAAAAATAAATAAATAAAGTTAAAAATAAATGGAAAAAAAAAATCAAGGCGTTTAGAATCTTCGCTTACAAGAAGCAAAGCTCGGTAACACGGGGCCTCCACCTCCTTCTCCACGGTCCTCACCAAGCTACTGGCTTCTGCACTAGATTAAACTGATGCAACCACAACAGTGCATTCACTGTCCTGCCCCCATTTCATACCTTCTGTCACTCAAACCTCCAACACCTACTTACTAGCTCTGCTCCCACTCAGTGATGATCCTGATCCGCTTCCTGGAGCAAAACGAACCACTCAGAAGAGAACTTCTACTTGGCGCCCCCCCACCCCCACACCCCTGCAGCCCATCCCGCCATTTCCTCCTGCTACTCCTACTCTAGGTCAGCTGCCTGTGCTCCCAAGGCCACTGCCCCAGGCCTGCAGACACCAGAACCAGAAGCCTTCCTTCGGGACACCTCACTTCGAGTGTCCTCACCTCTCTCTGCCGCATCCTCGGCACCCTCCCCACTCTAGATCATTCGCACCTGCTGTGTCCAAACCTGTTGGGGCTTTTTCATCCATCTTAACAAAAAACAAAACTCTGACCACACTCCTCCAAATACTGTGTCATTTCTCTCCTTCCCCGTCCACTTAACTCTACAAAGGCAAAATCTCTTATATTAAACCTGAGAGTTGCTCTCTGCCCAGGCTCCCGACCTTATTCCAATCAGTCTGCCCCACCCACCCCAGCGGTCTACTGCGGACACGCTAGTCCAGACCACACGCCTACACGCAAGCTCCCTTCTCAGGCCTCACCTACCATCAGCATCTGCCACAACTGCCCACATCCAGCTCCTCTGAACACCTCTTGACCACACTCTGGTTTTTCTCTACCATCAGTGACCACTCTGTCTCAGCCTCTGCTGTTCCCTCATCCACACCTCTTCTGGTCTCAGCGCCTAAGGGCTCAGACTTCGAACCTCTCTGCCTCTCTGTATCCACTCCCTTGGTGTTATTATCCCATCTCACGGCCCAGAGACCATTCTGCTGAAAGCTCCCAACTCCAGAATCACACATGCAACTGGTCACTTGACATCTCCAATGGTCTAACAGACACCTCAAAGCTAACATCTCAATCTGCAACCCCTACGCCACCCCCCGTCAGTAACTCCACGCACCCAGGTGGTTAGGCTAACAAGCTTGAGCTTGATGTCATCCCTGATTCTTCCCCATGCCTCACACCCAGTCAGCCTGATAAAAATCCTGCAGGTTAGGCTCAATTTATGGCTCATGGGAAACAATTATAGAAACAGAGCCTGAGTGTTAAGAAATTAAGAACGTGACCAGCAAAACTTTGGAGACGACAGAGAGATGACAGAAAGTATAAGTGCATCAACATACATTCACAGAAAAAAATTTATTCACTGTCTCAAGTGAATGAATTAATATAAAAAGATAACCATCCTGAAGTGCCTGGGGGGCTCAGTCGGTTAAGCTTCCAACTTCAGCTCAGGTCACGATCTCACGGTTCGTGAGTCTGAGCCCTACGTCGGGCTCTGTGCTGACAGCTTGGAGCCTGGACCCTGCTTCGGATTCTGTCTCTCTCTCTGTCTCTGCCACCCCTCCCGGCATGTGCTTTGTCTCCCTCTCTTTCTCTCTCTCTCCACCCCCTCAAAAATAATCATTTAAAAAGAAAAAAAAAAAAAAAGAAAACCATTTAAAAAATTCCAAAAGTCGGGCACCTGGCTGGCTCAGTCGGTAAAGCATGCAACTCCTGACCCTCAGGTTCTGTGTTTGAGCCCCACGTTGAGAGGGAGGTTAAAACAAAACTTCGAAAAAATAAATAACAACTCCAAAAGGCATTTAACCACTTACAATATGAAAGAACGGCTTTCGCTAGGGAACAACACGGGGAAGGGGAGACATTTTTCATGACAGACCGTTCTACACAAACCTTTTCACCATACACACGTATGACATTTTGTACAACCTGCACCACAGCACAACAGCCACGCTGCTCTCTAATCGAGCATCCTACAGTCATCTGATAGGACTGTTCTGGTGAAACTAACGAGCACAACTGAATGAAAACTGGTCGTGGGGCGCCTGGGTGGCGCAGTCGGTTAAGCGTCCGACTTCAGCTCAGGTCACGATCTCGCGGTCCATGAGTTCGAGCCCCACGTCAGGC